ATTTTCAATACCCCTGAAACGAATTATTGTTTTTTTCGTTTTGTTGGAGAAAATTAGTTACATCTGACCACCAGTCATTGAGCAACACTTCTTTTTCAACTTACCTTGCAAGGTCTTCAGCGTCGACTCTTTTTGGCCAGCTTTCCCAGTTCCTTCCACATGAACGTTAACATCCCACCCCACCCCAACCCAGTGACGTGACGTCAGTTGTGCATGTGACGCAAGTTAACATGAACGTTAACATCCCCACCCCACCCCAACCCAGTGACGTGACGTCAGTTGTGCATGTGACGCAAGTTAACATGAACGTTAACATCCCCACCCCACCCCAACCCAGTGACGTGACGTCAGTTGTGCATGTGACGCAAGTTAACATGAACGTTAACATCCCCACCCCACCCCAACCCAGTGACGTGACGTCAGTTGTGCATGTGACGCAAGTTAACATGAACGTTAACATCCCCACCCCACCCCAACCCAGTGACGTGACATCAGTTCTGCATGCATCAATTTCAAGAGCAACTTGCCTCCAATCAGCAAAAATGGCAAAAACGCAGGGGTCGTTAATGGCGCCGTAGGCAAAAACAACGCGAAAAATGATGGGGACTGGGTTCCCAAAAGGTCGTCGTTTATATGTGTCTGCGTTGCAAATATGACAGGGAAGTGGTTCTTTTCGTCAATGAATTTACAGCCCTTTGGACCACCAGTTTATTTATGAATTACACAGCAAAGGAAAACCTTGGGTTATCTATCTTTATTTATATTCAGTATACCTTCCAAAGCACCTCCACTGTCTTCCAGTTTTGATCCGAAAGGGTCAGGAAAGCGTTTCTTCGGGAAAATCGCGGCAGCTCGGTAGTTTCTATCCAACTTAATTCAAGTCCTGATTCTCAACGTGAGTTTGATATGAACCATCTCTACCCTGAGGGACCTTCGGAATTTAAGTTCCTGGGTTCCGATCCTGAAGCGTGTCCATTCTCAGCGTTCGTCATCTCCGGTTGCACCATGGAAATTTAACATATATGGCAGTTTCCTGAAATGGGGCTACCCCTAAATCATCCAAGTCATGGATAACAATTTTAGTATTGAAACAACCATGGTGATGACTGGGGATCCCCCATGACTTAAGAAACATCATGGATGCTCAGAGAGATGGTGTCCAGTCGATGTCCTGCATCGAGATTGGCAGGGCATGGTGACCTGAAAATGATTTCTTCCACATTCTGGTATGGCCACTAAAAAAATCCTGCAAGAAGAAATAGTAGTTGCATAGGAGCAAGAGCATGGGAGTAACAATCCTCACATCCTACCTTTAGTACTCTTTAGTTTGCATTTTTCTGATAAAAACAATGGATAGTAGTTACATAGGGGTAAGGTTGGACCCACCTCCCCACAACATTTACGATGTGCGGTCTTTTCAGCGCTCCTTAGGCGCTCCTTTTCTGCTGGTCTTTCTGGGCACGAACTACCTGCGATTGATGATTCAACGGCTCCAAAGAAGCAACTGAAGGAGGAAACTAAACTGAAAACCGTCAATCACTATGTCATGAAATGAGCATCAATCAGCAAAAAAAATACTGATGTTTGACTTGCTTCTGAACAGGTTGATTGTTTAGAATGAACCATGGAGACCATTTTGAGTTGTTAATTCTAGAACTGATGCAACAAGACCTCAAAATTCTGTGGCCGCGACCTGGTTGCTCAATTCACGAACCGTGGCCACCAATCTTTTCCCACAGCACATTGTGCCTTCGGTGGCAGCCCATGAGGGGTGACGGGGGCTGACGGGGAAGCAGCCACGTGCAATGATTGTTTTCTCCTCAAACCCCTGTTTGAAACTGCTTTCCGACATGATCTTCAAAGATCAACAAGGACATTCAAAGCAAGGGTTCAAAATGTTCAAAGTAGTAATTATCCAAAATGAGAGGTCCGAACCTGATCCGAAGCCAACGAGAATGTTGCCCATCCAAGAATAACATGATTCACCACCAATGGTCATATCTAACCCATCCGAATGGCCATTTGACCTAGATCCACAGATCCATTGAGCACCGAGCAGAGAAGGTTTCCCGCACCATGACAATCAGGTCCTGCTCAAATCAGGTCCTGCTCAAATCGCTGAATGGATGAAAATGGAGGTTGGGTTTCCCATCCAAAATTGTGATTTACCCAGAATGTAGCACCATTACATGATCTTCAAGGATCACCATGGCATTGTGGCCATATTCTTTAGTGTATCCAAGGAATAATCTTTGGCAAATTCACCCCGAACATTGATTTTCTTTTGAATAAAGGCCATGAAATTGCCAAAAAAAAATGTGGAACTGCAAGGATTCAGTGCATGGACGTCCAATCTCAGGTACAAGCGTATCTTTTGATTTGTTTCATACCTCAAAGGGATTTCAGAGACATTTCCCTTGCCCCAAGCAGTGCGGTCCCATAGGTTCTTTAAGAGCACCAAGTTGTTGTAGCAGTCGATCCTGGCCAAAAATAACAACACATACGGATGTACCCTTCTGTCGACACCAACCAGCTGGTTGCTCATGGCTGTTCAGCCCTCCGTTTCGATGTATTGGACTGTTTAAAAGGAAAATCTACAGGGAACCCCCCCAAAAAACAAGAGGGTGGCATCCTGTACATTACATGTTCCATTAAAACTAGCCCAGGTTCATTAAATCTGGTTCCTCAATTTTGTTTTTAAAGAGTCAAAGTCTTTGTTGCTAAATTTTCAACTTGTATTGGTGAAATTGCACATGAATCTTACATAAGTATAAAAAATCATTATCAAAGGAAGTTGGGAAGCAATACTTCCGTGTTACGGACAAATAGAATTCTGAGACTTGAAATGATGAAGGGTGGTGCGCGATTGAGACTTGACCTTGATGAAGGGTGGTGTGAGACTTTACATGACATAACAATACATCCCATTGAGACTTGACCTTGATGAAGGGTGGTGTGAGACTTTACATGACATAACAATACATCACATTGAGACTTGACCTTGATGAAGGGTGGTGTGAGACTTTTCATGACATAACAATACATCACATTGAGACTTGACCTTGATGAAGGGTGGTGTGAGACTTTACATGACATAACAATACATCACATTGAGACTTGACCTTGATGAAGGGTGGTGTGAGACTTTTCATGACATAACAATACATCACATTGAGACTTGACCTTGAGGAAGGGTGGTGTGAGACTTTACATGAAGGGTGGTGTGAGAGTACATGAAGGGTGGTGTGAGAGTACATGAAGGGTGGTGTGAGAGTACATGAAGGGTGACGAAGGGAAGTGGTGACGAAGGGAAGTGGTGACGATGGGAAGTGGTGACGAAGGGAAGTGGTGACGATGGGAAGTGGTGACGAAGGGAAGTGGTGACGAAGGGAAGTGGTGACGATGGGAAGTGGACGGAGGGAAGTGGTGACGATGGGAAGTGGTGACGAAGGGAAGTGGTGACGAAGGGAAGTGGTGACGATGGGAAGTGGTGACGAAGGGAAGTGATGATGAAGGGGAGTGGTGACGAAGGGAAGTGGTGACGAAGGGAAGTGATGATGAAGGGGAGTGGTGACGAAGGGAAGTGGTGAAGAAGGGAAGTGGTGACGAAGGGAAGTGGTGACGAAGGGAAGTGGTGACGAAGGGAAGTGGTGAGGAAGGGAAGTGGTGAGGAAGCGGGGTGGTGACGATGGGAAGTGGTGAGGAAGGGAAGCGGTGACGAAGGCAAGTGGTGAGTTGGGGAGGAAGCCGGAGCACGAAACCTTGTGTTTTTCCGTGTAAAGTGGCTGCAGCCGACGATGAAAGGTACCTCGTCTGTGCGACGGGTGCGGCTGGGGTCGTTTCATGCGCGAATTGGTTCCTCCTATGTGTTTTGCAACGAGTGGTTGTGTCTGTCTGCGTAGTTCTATGCGTTTCTTGAATCTTTGGTTGCGGATCGCATTGGAATGGCTGTTCTATGCGTTTCTTGAATCTTTGGTTGCGGATCGCATTGGAATGGCTGCGTCAAGGTTGCATGGGCTACCTTGTGGGGAGGAAGCCGGAGCACGAAACCTTGTTTTTATTCCGTGTAAAGTGGCTGCAGCCGACGATGAAAGGTACCTCGTCTGTGCGACGGGTGCGGCTGGGGTCGTTTCATGCGCGAATTGGTTCCTCCTATGTGTTTTGCAACGAGTGGTTGTGTCTGTCTGCGTAGTTCTATGCGTTTCTTGAATCTTTGGTTGCGGATCGCATTGGAATGGCTGCGTCAAGGTTGCATGGGCTACCTTGTGGGGAGGAAGCCGGAGCACGAAACCTTGTGTTTTTCCGTGTAAAGTGGCTGCAGCCGACGATGAAAGGTACCTCGTCTGTGCGACGGGTGCGGCTGGGGTCGTTTCATGCGCGAATTGGTTCCTCCTATGTGTTTTGCAACGAGTGGTTGTGTCTGTCTGCATAGTTCTATGCGTTTCTTGAATCTCTGGTTGTGGATCGCATTGGAATGGCTGCATGAATGTTGCATGGGCTATCTTGTGGGGAGGAAGCCGGAGCACGAAACCTTGTGTTTTTCCGTGTAAAGTAGCTGCAGGCGACGATGCAAGGTACCTCGTCTGTGCGACGGGTGCGGCTGGGGTCGTTTCATGCGCGAATTGGTTCCTCCTATGTGTTTTGCAACGAGTGGTTGTGTCTGTGCGTGTAGTTCTATGCGGTTCTTGAATCTCTGGTTGCAGATTGCATTGGAATGGCTGCTTCATTGTCGTGATTTGATGTCGCCACGTGCGTAGATAGGTGCGGGTTTGCCACGGGATGCTGCGAAATGCATTGTAATGGCTGTGTCAAGGTTGCTCGGTGCCGCGGCTGCATGCGTAATACTATTGTCTTTT